CCCAGGTAGCAAATCTTCGGAGGAAGTTCCACTTTTGTTTTTGACCATAACCACACTGTAAGGCTGCTCAGTTGAAGTCATTGAAAGTCAGGAATGCAAGATTTTGGATTCCACTAGCAACGCTGCCCCAACTATGTTGAACTTCTTGTATGTATTATGATATAGATTTACTGACATAAACAGTAACACATTAACCTATGCATTTAACAAAAACAGCAAACAGAAAATGCTGTATAGTTAGTATATACACTGTACATGTAACATAACTGAGTTAGCATAGTGATTGGCACTTTAACTTTGCATTTCCAAATTTTTGATTAGTTTAACTGTACAACCTTAACATTTCATAAGGTTTTTTTTTGCATTTAATTTGCTACGACTTAAAAAATAATCTTTAATTTGCCATAAACATTTAAGTCACATCATATGCTGAAAATGACACCCTTAAACGTGCTTTAAATATTTACGTCAATATATAAGTATTTAAATGACTTGAAATCTTTCAGATGACAGCATGTCTTTAAATCTTTGAGACTGTTTAAAGGCTCATGCCATATGAGATAAAATCTTTTTATCAATTTTGAATTGTGCAATGGTAAAAAATATACACATTCTCCTTTAGAAGAAAAATTTCCACCGCTTTCATTACACAGAGACTTAAGTTGTAGCTGAACTTTGAAATATGGTAAGTGAAAAGCCACTGAAGTATATGTTCACAACCAAGACTGAAAAAAGTGTGTGATAAAGTTATGAGCAATTGAAAGTTGGCTTCTGCACATGTGTAATAGTTTCTGTGGGATCTTTACCGAGATCAAGGTATATCTTATTATTTGTATTATTGAAGCCCCTAGGAGCCCTAGTCATGGTCCAGGATCCCACTGCGCTAGGGGTTGTACAAACACAGAATAGTATCTGTTTTCCCCTTCAAATCAGGGTGTCAATCAGCTCACCCTCACAGCTGCTATCAGTTGTTAGCAGGGACTTTCAGCTTCCTGGCCTCTCACTGCACCCTGGTTGTCTCTGGTGCTTGGAGACCACCAAGTTTAAAAGTAATCCCCAGGAGCTGAAATGGCTGGTGTGTAGATGGGATTTAACAGAGGAGCCATTTGGAGTTGGAGAGAAACGTACAAAAAAGCTGTGACTGAGGCCAAAAAACATGACTTTTCCTCAGCCATTTGGAGTCTTTGCACAATCTGATTATTCTGGTCTGCCTCACCCTGTTTGTAATTTCTTCAAATGACTGCTGTGAGGAGTTGTTTTGAGTAGATTATTTATTATTATTATTATTATTATTATTATGTTATTTGTAAATATTTATATTATGATGGCACCCAAAGGCCCCAAGTTTCAGTTCTAGGATGGTCTCTGGCGTTTCTGTTTGAGAGACATTTGCTTTCATAATCAAACAAATTTAGTTTCTGATGGAGGTATCTGTTGTCTTCTCGGTTTCTTGAGGTCCACCACTTGTGGTCCTGATCCCTATTCATATTGGTGTCTCAAAGCAAGTGTGGTAGCCATGGTGTCAATATTGAGAGGCATTACTAACACCTCACTGAGCAAGGAGAAGATGCTGACAATTCTTAAACACACTGAGGTCTAACCCCTCTTCAAGATACTTTCCTTTGATGTGGTAGTACTTGCTATTCAATCCTGCCTGATCTTAAACTTCACCTCCTTTGGAGAGGTGGTTGAGAAGTGAGAGCTTGTCAATTCCATGTGCATCTGGACACCACCCCCCTGGCAGATTCCATTCTGGGTTCCAGCATTCCATTGGGACAACACTTGTCATGGTCATGAATTCTCTCTTGCAGAGCCGTAACTAGCTATTTTTGCACCCGAGGCAAAAATATAAAATTGTGCCCTCCCCCTCCATATAATTTCATAGTAGTTACTTTGTAAAAAAAACAAAAAACAATAAAAAAAACGTAAATAACAAGAATAATAATGATAATAGAACATTTATTTATTTTAATCATAAGATCCGCGTACAAAATCAACTAATACATATAAGGTGTGCATCATAGTGCATCATGAACTGTGGGGGTCGGGACACACAGCCTGGCGCAGGGTTGGGGCTTGCCTCACAGCCGCACTCTGGGGTTGGGGTCGGGGCTTGCCTCACAGCCGCACATTGGGGTCAAGGTCGGGGTTCAGAGCCTGGCGCAGGGGTCAGGGCTCACAGCTCACAGCACACATCCCTGTCGGGGTCGGAGCTCACAGCCTGGTGCAGGGGTCGGGGCTCACAGCCCGGTACAGTGGTCAGGGCTTGTAGCCCCGCAGCTCCACACAGGGGTCGGGGTCAGGGCTCACAGCCTGGGGTTGGGGCTCGCAGCCCAGCGCAGGGGTTGGGGTCAGGGCTCACAGCCCAGGGTCGGGGCTCGCAACCGTGCACTAGGGTCGGGGTCGGGGCTTACAGTCTGGCGCAGGGGCCGGGGTCGGGGCTCACAGTCCGGCGCAGGGGTTGGGGCTTGCAACCGCGCGTCCTGTGGTGGCCGGTTTGTTAAATTTAGAAGCCGGTGCAGAACCGGTTCCTAAAGGGGCGGGCGGGTAGGTGGGCAAACTCCGGTCTGCGGGCCACATTTGGCCCGTGGGACCGTCCTGTCTGGCCCACCTGAGCTCCCAGCTGGGGAGGCTCATAGACTCATAGACTCTAAGGTCAGAAGGGACCATTATGATCATCTAGTCTGACCTCCCGCATGATGCGGGCCACAAAAGCTGACCCACCCACTCCTGGAAGAATTCTCTCCCTTGACTCAGCTGTTGAAGTCCCCAAA